CTTCCTGGATGGAAGAGAAACGTCTTCAAACGTGGAAACAACGTCCAGTGGATTGATTTTAATTTTCTTTTTTGGAATGACTGACCTGGATGACTGAGAATCTTTACCAGCATTTGATTGACCTTCTTCTGGAAATATGATGATCTATGAGTCAAAGGAAGGAGAGATTATCATGATTTATGTGCCTGTAGGTGGATTGACAGCAGTCATCTACACCGATGCGCTCCAGACTCTGATCATGGTTGGTGGAGCCCTTTCACTGATGTTCATAGGTGAGATGCACACGGCTCTCCTCACAACATATAGATCATTTATACCTAGAGTTAGAAATATGGAAACATGTCTATGTAAAGGTGGTGCTGTTTTAAGGCCATGTAGTGTGATACATATAATCTAGAAAAGACTGTCTCCTGTATCTGCAGCTTTCATCAGGGTGGGCTGGTATGAGGGCCTAGTGGAGCAGTACATGTGGAGCAGTCCCACGGTGACGGTGGCGAACACCACCTGCCACCTTCCTCGTTCTGATGCTTTCCATATGTTCAGGGATCCCCTATCTGGAGATTTGCCTTGGCCTGGTTTAATCTTCGGCCTCACTGTTTTGGCCACGTGGGTCTGGTGCACCGATCAGGTGACTTCATCTACATTCCAACACTAACGGAGATTCATAGAGCGGTTTAGATAAGGAGGAGGAAGCCTGAGCTGATCTCCCAGCCTCTTCATCAGCTGCTTTATTTCCCTCAGCTGGGCAGCAGTTGGCCATCATCAGCTGACCTCTGGGTTCTCTGACCTCTCTTTAGATCAACCAGCCTCAGAACTGACTTTGTCTGGGAACTATAGCTGTCTGTCTTTATCTCAATAAATTACTGCCTAATTGCTTAAAATGAATTCTGTTTGAAATGAGAAAAGATAACTAACCTTAATATATAATAATCTATTCAGTTTATTTCTATAGCTCCAATTCACATCATGTCATCTCAGAGCTCTTTCCAGTTCACCAGATCATCCAGTCAGATTGATCCAAAGTTTTCTATCTAAGGAAAACCAGCTGATTGCATAGACTCATTGACTCTTCAGCAATCCCTCACACAAAGCATGCTTGTAGCGACAGTGGAGAGGAAAAACTCC